TCCCTCTCCCCCTCCCTCTCCCCCCTTCCAATGGCAAGGCTCTGTGTCCACCACCGACTGTGTAGCCACACCTTCAAGAGGTGGGGGTGACCGGGTACATCCCCCTGGGGCTGCCCCCCCACCCCACTACAACCCCACACACATCCCCCCACTCTTCCTCTCCCCGTCAGGTTTTCTCCTTCACCTCCCCCCTTTCATCCACCCACCTCCACCTCCCCCCATCCAACTCCACCTTCCCCCACCTACCCACCTCACCCACCCACCCACCTCCGGTCGTTCAACGATGAGATATTGAATGCACGGTCCTGCCACTGATGACTCAGCATAGCCGCCACACCCGCGTCTGGATACACCTGCTTGACGACACGCGTACGGGGGGAAGGAGATGCGGGTGGGGGGAGGTTGGGGGATAACGACAATGGGGGCCGGACCTGGAGGCCAAGTACCGTCGTCCAAGCAATAAACACAATACAGGAGTCATGGGTGTGGAGGAAGGACGCAAACCCGAACGCAAGGGGCCTCCACCCACACCTCCTCACCCTCCCCCCCACTCACCGCTTTAATATAGCCACTGGAGTTGAGCGCCAAGCCCAGCTGCTCCAGAAACCTGCGGGTCATCCGCCAGAAGCGATCCTGGTCCCCCCGGTTCGGGAAGATGGGACCCGAGATGGGGTCCCAGAACTCCGGGAGGTGCAGCTCCACCTGGGGGAAGGCGGGTGACGGGGGTTGACGGAGGGGGAAAAGGTTTTAGGGGGTGAGGGGCACGACGAGGAGGGCGAAGAGGGGGCGCAGGTCGTTGGGAAGGGGTGCCGGGGTGCCGTGGAAGTGAAGGAGTACTCAGATATAAATGGATATGAAAGGCAAAAGGACCGCCAGAAAGGGTGAGGGGGGGGTGACAGCGGGAAGAGTTGGAGGAAGAAAAACAGCAGTGAGGACGGAACGCTGTCAAGAGAAGCGTTTCATAACGCCAGTCGGGCTGTACGATATACGGTACTTGTTGAGGATCATCTTGTTGCTCATGCGCACCTGGCATCGAACGTTTCCGCGCTGTATGGCTTCAGCGGTCGCCTTCGCAGCCTCATCGATTGAGTCCGCAAGGCTGTTAGGAAGCACCTGTTTATATAAAATGATATTTGCACAAACTATGTTATGCGATCGTTAAATTGGACAGCGCAAATCCCCTGCTAGAGCCAAGCAAGCACACAGTAAGCCATCGTTGGAGGTCTATCGCTTACGTCGTCATCGCGTGGCCCAAGATCCTCGGCAGCAGAATCAGCAGCGGCTGAAACATCCACGTCAAACTGGGTGACGCTTTCGTCGGTGGTTGCCCATGCGACTATCCGCCGGTGTGGAGACGAGCAAAATCGCCCAGAGCCATAGTGTTCTTGGACCAGTGAGAAAGGCTTCACATGTGGCCTACGGTAAGGCTGAGTTCCGAATGGCTTTACATGATTTGTATTTAATTGCGCGTGCGCGGTGGACCACAAACCCTTTAGATGGCAATGCGTAATCGACTGCATTTTGTAACGCGCCCAAAAACGAATAACCGGCCTAAGAGTATATCTAGAAACCGTCGCAGTTGTACCAAAGCCTACAGCGGACTTGTCAAGTCGTGCCGTACAAACGGTTGGCCGGCTTTCCGCCTGTATAAATACCTTCTGAGTCCTGGATGACTACATCCATGGTCCAATACTATCAGCCATCGATAATTGCTGTACCTCATGACCCTCATTACAATGCTCATATGGGGGCGTATTGGAAACAGGCGATGTTGCCATCTACTTTGTTTGCCCTTCCTTTTCTTTTCATCTCCATGTGTATCCTTTCCGCTTCTCCTCCTGGCTTCTTCCCGACGTCCCCATTCTCCATCCTTACTCCCTTTTTTTCCAGCATACACGTGTGTGCGTGCTGGGTTGTATGTACACACCATCACCACATGCACACCAAAATACCACCGCTATGGCCGTGTGTGCACAACGTACCAATCTCAACGTTCCAACTTCCCACCTCGCCTCCGTCTCTCGCCGCCGCCTCGAGTAAGTGCCATTGAGTTCCGCTTGCTCTTGGGCCCGGCCCTCAGATACCTCTCTTCACACCACAACAACACCCGAGAAGAAATTAGGAAGCCAAGTACCCTAGTAAGGGGTCCGAATCACATACATACATACATGATGTCAAACACAGGTACGCTACACTGAACACCTGGACACACTCTCGCACCCTGTCTTACAAGCCCAGACCTCATAAAACACACACACATACACACACGCACTGTTTCCACCCGCGCTGCTTGATTCAAAAGACCCTCCGTACGCCTCCCGTACTTCACCTAGCTGTAGCAGTAGCAACAATACAGGAAACACACGTAACAGCAATAACTTCACATCTTAGCGCTAAACAACTATCGGGGATGAGGGGAGTCTTAATCCTGAGGGGAAGAATCGCCACCGTGCAGCCTCTGCGTGACTGTGACTATGTGTGTGCATGTATGTGTGTATGTGTGTGTATGTGAGAGTGAGATAGAGACGGTTTCACCGACTGACACTCGGAGGGCATCTTACTACGTTCAAACTAGCTACAAATATGCGGGCATGCTCTTAAGCAGGAGAACATTTCTTTGCATGTAAGTTGAAGTATAATTCTAGCCAAAAGTATAATGGTGCTTATGGTCAGAAAAAGAGAAGTGACGGCGGCGAGGACACTCCATCCACCGCCAAACCCTAAAACCGAACACGTACTGCCCCAGCCTCATCTAAAACCCTTACAACCCTCTTGCCCCGCCCCGCCTGCTCGGGGGTGGGGTGGGCCCCGCGCACACCTCCAACCCCCCCGAGCCAGCGGGCCCCCCTTCCCACACACCTAAGGTGACGAGGCACCACCTTGCGACATCTTGGCGGGGGGCGGGGGCGGGGGGGCGGGGGAACAGCGGCAGCGGCGGCACTTGGGGCGGCCCAAGGCCCTCCTCGGATAGAGTAGACAACGCCCACCACTAGCTACCCCCTTTACCGCTACCGCACCTGCCCCAACTGCTCCGGAACCAATAGTCCTCTCTCTCGTTTCCCTAACTCGTTTCCCTAACTCCTTTCCCTGCCTCCCGCAAGTAATTCGGCAGCCCCGCACAGCTGCAAATACACAGTGTAGTCACAGCATTCAAGCAGAGCTCTGTTCGGGTCCCCCTCCCGCCCACATAAGGCCCCCCCCAAACCTCCATCAGCACCCCCTACCCCCCACTAACTAGGCCCGACATATTCCCTAATAGATTGGGAAGTACACATACACACACATACACACACATACATGCATACACGCGCCTAGCTGTCTACTTATCGCCACCACTACAGCGCCGGCCATTCCGACTTGCTTTGACATCGTCAGCGGCTCCAAGGGTCATTATCCACCCCTTTCACAAGCACAGCAATCCTCACCGGAGGCCGCCAACAGGGAAGAAAAGGGAAACACGCGCGTGTCAGGTAAGGCCCGCCTGTCACAGGTCTAAGGTCAAGAGCAGGTGCGGGGGGTCGGAAAGGTGCGGGGGGGTTGCTGCGCCGCAGCCGCAGCCGCAGCCAAGCAGTGGCCAGTTCCCCAGCTCCTTATATCCCCCGCCACTACGTACTCGCAGCTAACATGTTAACATTATGTAGTCTCCAGCGCCATGTCTGTTCTTTTTTCAAGCAACCCGGCAAAATGTTCTGCCGTGTTACCTTTCACACCGCCAAGAAGATCACTCACATCATCACACTCGCTCCATGTCTCTAAAGTCGCAGCCTAACACCGTCATTGTATTTACTCGCCTGCCTACACGCCGCCTGCCTGCCTGACAGACAGAGAGACAGACAGACAGATTTGTCAACAGACTGCCGGACGTCACTTGCTAGAGTGTCTGCAGTTTTAGCGACGCGGTGTTCAACGGGGGCCGACCACGAGCTAAAACTCCTCGGTCATACACACATACACACACACACAGGCACACGTGCGGCGCTGCTGAGACGAGACGTCATCAACCACTCGCCAGGCCACGTCATGTCGTACCGTATCGTACGACAACTTTACTACCTAAGACGACACCTTGCCGCACAGCCGCCAGTCCGGGCGCCACCCGGGGGGTAACGTCGCAATCTCCATCTCGTTAAACGCGTACGCCGGCGGTTGGCCGTGGTTTTGGCTCGTGGACATGTACGACAAGCCCCGCAAGAACTGCCCCTCCAGCCAAGTGACTTGGCCCTGCGGCAGCAGCCCCGCCGCCACCGCCTCCTCCGCGAGCGCCTTGCTGAGCTCCAGAGCGGTGCGGTCCTTTCCCGACTTGCAGTTGACAGCCCGGCCCCCCCCCACCTCCGCACATGCCCGGCGAACCTGGCGTGTGTGTGTTTGTGTATATGTATATGGGGTGTGTATATGGGGTGTGGGTGGGATGGGTGGGAGAGACGGGGTGAGGAGTGTGGGTGTATGTGTTGGGGGTATAGCGGGGATCGTATACATCATCATCCCGCATGGCCTCCGCCATCAGGCAAGTAAGGTAATGTAATAATGATGGTGGTGGTAGGGGCTTAAAGACTGCGGGCCCGCGGGTAAAAGAGTGGTGAGGTTTCAACGTACAAGATGACTCCGTCGACGTCAAACATCCAGATATCCAGCGGACTTTACCCTGCGGACACGCCTCCCAGGATTCCGCACTCCCCGACCCTTTGCCCGACCAACCGCCAAACTGCCAAACCCCCAAACCCCTCATTCACC